AAATTTCTCCATGCCATTTTCGCGGAACTCCCTACATCAAATACTCAATAAAAATGCCAATGTCTCTTCTCCAATTCAACCAGCACAACTTCCTAACTGGCCCCTCAGTTGTCATTGTTCTCTAAATTTACCTCCTTTACAATTCCAACCCACCTCTTTTTTTCTTCATTTTTCTTTTCTAGTCAGTCTTTCTTTTTTTCTTAACACACAGGACGAACCATAAAGCAGCTGTATCCTATCTCAGAGATGAGCTTGTTGTTCCTCCTACAATCAGTCCTCAAGAAATTAAGCATCAATGAGTAAACACATCATAAAAACCTGGTGGAAGCAAAAAAGCGTGCTTAGACAGATATCACTTGCTTCATTGCCACTCTACTCCTTTTGATTCTTCCAGAATCCCAGAGATCTATCAGTTGGACAGCAGAGTGGAATGAAGCAGAGCATGACAAGGAGTAAACTGAATATCAGGCAGTGTACATAAAATAATATCAAGTTATCAACGGTGAATCCAATTAAACTACCACATTCATATAGATTTAAAGAAAAGTGGCACAAGAAGATAACCTAAAGTCAAATGATTTCAAAAGAATTAAAAAAAGAGTTCTTGAAGGATTATTAAATTCATTTAAAAAAGAAATGCCATATAGGAAACACACTGCAGGAAAGGATTGCCATGTTACCTAAATCCACATCAACTATAGTCCTCCTACGATTTCTTCTAAAATTGTTTTTAGCCTGGATGAAAGAAAATTTGGAGAAAAGATTAGATGAATCTGATGCAGATTTAAATTAAAAACAGAGAGAAGACTGCAGTCATGCCTCAGCAAAAGCTCTGGGACTGGATTCAACAACATCATCATCTTCAATAGCCTCCACATCAATCATCACAGGTTGTGCAACTGGCAGTTGTTGGCCTGCTTGAACCTCTCGAGGCACCAATTGAGTTGAAGGCCCCCCCTGTTCCTGATTCTCACTTGGCGGGAAACAGTTCAGGTCCAAGTTCAAAACTGTCTTCCTCCTACGACCACTTCTGACAGCAGGTCCCCTGACTGTTTGGGTGCTCATTATGAACTATATTCCCCTATTGAAATTATGAACCAGAAGACCCTGAAATTACAAGGCATGAGATTATTGTTCTGAATAATGATAAATCTAAACAGGCAAAAATTAACTGCTGGGAACCAGATGAAGCACAAAATAGCAAAGAATTAGAAGTGCAGGAAAATCAAAAAGAAACACTAGATATAATTATATCACTACTTGTTCACATCCGCTCAACTCTGGAGAAGTCACGAATAGAAAAGTTTCATAAGGCTTCAAGATTTATTGTGGGCAAAAAATAAAAACAAAGAAACATCAAATAATCTGTAACTTAAACATGTTCAGACCATAAAGTAACAATAACTACTCACAAAACTTATTGAGCCAAAAACTTTGGCAACTCTTCTCCTATATCTTCAGCAGTTGAGCATTAAAACGAGTAGCAAAAATGTAAGGGAGTCCAGTCAGAAAAAGAAAACTACTCGAACAAACGTACACAAGAAATACAGTAATCACCAGAGGATCACAATTAGTGAGCGTAAATTAGTGAGCGTCAAAGGATTATTCAGAGAAATAAACCACAAGTCACGCATACTCATGATAAATCATTCAGAAATAGTAGCCGACAAACAAGACCAAGTTTGACCAGCAAGCTTTACATATTCAACAACTTCGAAAAAGCTAAGTAAATATTCCAAGCAAAACCGGGCCTTTTCACGCTAGAAATATCATTTATGGATATCGTACCTAAATCAAAACAAAAAATAAATAGTATGCGCAAAAAGAGGGGGAAGCATGTGAAGAGCGAAATTTTCAGGCACCAATATACAAAAATTGAGACGAACAACAAGTAATGCAAAGAGTTGATCAAATCAACGAATTGAATCCGAAACGGAGAAATCAAACCAATCATTGAGAAATCGAAAGCGAAGCAACCGACCTAATCAGCCGACTAATGCACGGAAAGGAAAACGCGTCAGGAAACGGAAGTGAGCAAACGAACCCTTTCAACCGAAGAAGCAAATCGGAGGCGCAAAGAGCTTCGCAGACAGAGAATCGGCAGATTCTTCCCTTTTCTATCGATTCGAATAAGGAAGATTCCGCGAAGGAGAAAACGGAGAGGGCGAAGAAGCCGGTTCTGAGCGGAGTGCGTCTGAAATAAGTTCCAGCACGTCACGAATGACGAAGCGGGTGTTCCCACGTGGCAGGGGTTTACTTTACAGTTTACGCACGTTTTTTTTTTTTATCCGAAGTTTACGCGCGTTCTATAAAAACTTAAATATAAAACTTAAAAGGACTTCAGTAATACTAGTAGTAGTAACCATTAATCAACAGCATCCCATCACGGTCAATTTAAGTTTTCTATAACATCAGAGTAATATTTTATGGTACTTTAATTATATTAATCTTTCATTGGCCAAAAAAAATTATATTAGTCTCTCCCTTATTTCACCGTTGTCCATTCGAATGAAACCATCAATATTGTGAAAAAAATATTCTTAAAAAAATTAAAATCATGTTTTTAATTAAAAAAATTATGTTGAAGTAAATTTTATTTATTAAGTTACCTCATCATGTAAATTTTTAAGTTATTTTTTCATATTTTTTGCATATTTAAAAAACAGAGGAAAAAAAATCAAAATTTTACCATTTTGTGATTAATGTGAAATAATTTAAAATAATATGCTTAAAAGATTATTTTAGCTCACTTATGCATTTAAAATAAAACTAAATAAATAATTTAAGATAAATGAGATTAAGAATTTAAAATTATTGAAATGATAAAAAATTATGATCATAAATTATAAAATTATTTTATTCTATAATATGATCAAATTTAATCAAAAGTTTGGATATGTTAAGAATTATTATTTTTTGAGGAAACATGAGTGTTGAAATTATTCTTAATAATATTTATGTTGATGAGGGCATCTTGGTCAAAATAAGAATTAACAATGTAATTAAAAGTCAACTAACAATTTCTCATAATTAAAAGACGGAGTATAAAGAAAATTAAGAATAAAAGTTGTTTAAAGAAATTACCCCCAAGACTATTATCAAGAATTATAAAAGTGCTAAAAGCTATGAAAATAAAATACCCCAAAAAAAGGGAAAACGAAACTTTTGATTTTCATCTTACTATCTCTCAATTATCGATTTGATGCCAATAGTTTGATCATTATTAATTTCATCCCAATGATGTAATTCTGTTAAAATGTTACTGTCAGTCGTCAGAGAATAAATTGACTTGGCACTACAGGTTTGTTGAAGACAGGTAAGCCCTTTTAACTGGCACCAGAAATAATATTATTTCCATAAAATAGAGATCTAGAAACAGGCTTATAAATACCATCAATATCTACTGGAGGGGCAGCAATAAAAGCGACAATAAATTTAGAAATTGCGGTCAATAATGTAGGGATCATCAAAATACCAAACCATCCAATATAAAGACGGTTTTCAGTAACCCTCTTTTCCCCAAGATGTCAGAGATCAAGCCAGTTTGAAGGAGGATGAAGCACGGTCTCAACATTGAATACATGCATCTCGTGAGCTTAAGTAGAACAACAATAATGGTGATTAACTATAATAACGATTAAATTACTGTTCTATATGACACACCCAGTTTTGTTGCTTCCTTGAGCTCTTTTGATTAAAATACGTTGCCACATTGAAACCAAAATGAATAGAATACGAAGTTGACTGCTGAACTTCACAAGCATGTCATAATCTTATAATCCGGGCATCTAAAAAATTCCCCTCCCAATATTAGCACTGGAGGAGGTGAGAGATAAAATGACCAGAAGCATAATCTTCGGCAGTAGAAATTATGCTTTATCAAGCCTAATCACAACAAGTTAATTGTGACGCGAATAGGATGATGCTTGGAAAGGTAATACAACAACCGAATCATAACATGATTTCAGCTCTGTTCTGAATAAAGTACTCAACAGTCAAAAAGCATGTTCAAGACTCAGTTGAATCATGGTTTTGTCTTGAAGAAGCAAGGAAAGGAGATTAAATCTGAACACCGGAAAACTATCAGACAGGGAAAAACTTAGTAGTCTGCAATAAACGTACTGCAACAGAGATTACTTATTCCCTTTCAGACCGTTCATGAGCAGCAATATGGTAACATCAAGCTTTCAAAGACTCTCCAGCTTTTACCAGATCTTGAAGTGCCTTAGAAATCTGGTCCTCTGTCAAACCTTCCAATCTGATGCCTTTCTCAACACCCAAGTCTGTGACATACAAGTAACACAGGCAAAATTACTTTGTGGACTTCTACTTGAAAGGATGCAACAACAGCAACAAATGCCCCTGTGAAAGATAGATTACAGATAACTGATCCTAATGTTAAGTCAATCGAAGAAAAGGCTGATGTGATTTTGCATATGGTGATTTTGAAAGATAAATGAAATTTTAGAAGAACTTGCTTCTATCACTTTTCTTCCAAAATGTCCCCATTTCTTTCATTCACTCCCCCCAACCCCCCGCCGGCACGAAAAAAAAAAAACACACACACACACAGCAGCATAAGTATCTTTTACAAACAATCATTCTACTTTTATTTTTTCTCGCAAAGAAAAAGGCCAAGATTAAAACTCTAGAAGTTTGGAATCAGATGTCTCTCTGTAAAAATGCAAATCCTAAGATTCAGTCTTACAACTCAACTGATGAGAAGAAATCAAACAGAGTTTAAAAATATTATGTTAAAAACATGGTTACAGTCAAACATGATATGCCATTCTACAAATTTCAAAGCAAGCATACAATAGATCCATGCAACGCGCAGACTTAAAAAACAGAGCTCAAACTCTGCATTAACAAATGAAGCTATAACAGAATTCAGCCTCAACACAGTAGTTTTCCTTTTCAAGTTTTGAAAATACCGACATAAATTAAGGGCACAAAAGGCAGTGAAATAGTGTCATCCAAAGGGAATACACGACTACAGCATAAGAAACTCAAATCACCAAAAAAACATAAAATAGGATTTACGGCAGGTGATACCATATCTTGCCCACAATTGAGGTTCGACCCCACTGCATTCACGGATCAATATTGGCAATTTGGGGTTCAATGTCTTTAGCTCCTTATAATTCTTTTCCACAAATGCCCTGGGATAACAATGAGGGCTCATATCAGGCTTAGATACATAGTAGATGTATTTAAGTTTAATCAGTGAGCAAATTGGATGTATATGGTTAGAGAAGTCATGAATATTTATCAAGAGAGAGTGTACTACAATTATGACCTTGTGGTTGAGCTTGCAGGCGATGTCTGGCACATGAGAAACCGAACCTCCTTCAGGTACTTCGAAAGATTTCCTCTCCATGCCATTGCTAACCTGGGGGCTCAAATATAGAGTATGAGAAATTAAATTGCCTTGCCAGAAAACAACGAGGAAGCAAAGCCAACTGTTAATAAACGATCAAGACATTTAAGAAATCCGTCGTATATCTAAATGTCGCTAGGCATATTAAATTATCCTGATCAGAGTTTTGTTCTGAAACAATGTACATGTACAATCAAGTCCTCAAATTTAATTTGCATCAGAAATAAAACATAAACAAATAAATACATCATCAGAAATGAAAAAATTTTAGACCCAGAAGGGGAGTCATTATCAGAAATCAGTATCTAGACAAAGATTAAACAACAGATACCACAGTGGTGATTGGGGGATACTGGGATAAATAAACCGACGGAAGAGAATAAAAACGAGAAGATATTTCTGAAATTAAATGAAAATAAAACAGAGAAATAGAATATAAGCGATAGAGGGAAGACAAAGCTCACTCCGTTAAGTTGCTCTCCGTCTCTCAGACGACCACCGTCTTCCTACCTCCTCAGATCTCTCGATACGCACCAGTGAAAAGGTCGCGTCCCGATTGCCTCCTTTTTCCCCGATGTCCTCTTCGGCTGCTCTTGGGATACGACGGCGTTTCTACGAAGCTATGGAATTTATTCGGTTTTGCTTGTTTTGTTTTGTTTTGTTTTTTTTTACCAGAGCTTTTTTTGTTTTTTTAAGGACCATAGTTTTCTCATAAAAAATTAAAAATAAATAAGTGCTTACATTTTATTTAATACTAACAAGTCAGATTTAATCTTTACAATTTTAATTTTAAATAAAACAATTGGATTTATAAATATGAAATTTTGATTTATGAACATTAACGTGTAAATTTAATTATAGATTATACAATTTACCTTATAGATATTAAATAAATCTCTTCAATCTTGTTAGTATCAAATAAAATTTGGAAGACTTATTTATGTTTAATTTTGGTTTATCGCTGGCAGAAAACATTTTGGTTTATCGGAAGCTTCAAAAATACTGAAATGTTACCCAAATAACATCACCCTCAGGTTACAAGGTAGGATTAAACCACTAGACTACAAAGCTATTAATAAGAAAATTTTCAATTTAGCTGCGAGTTATCTCCCAAAAATATTTGATGACCATTTCAAAAGAAGAAGAAGAAGAAAATAACAAGATTCTAAAACACCGAAATTTTATCAAAATTAAATTATACTTCCAAAAAAGAATTAAAATATAATAATTTAATTATTACCAACCAAGATCTGACTAATGAATCATAAACCATTACTTCGACCAATTTAATGAACCAAATCATAACATTGCTTGGATTTAAGTTGGATTAGATTTAAAACGGAAAATGTTCTTCCAGTACAGAAGAAAAATTCATTGTTTACCATGTTTGTATTGTGGAATTGTTATTTTTTTATTTTTGGTTACAATATTGTGGAATTTTAATTGACATACATTCAAACAAAGCTTTTTACCCCACAAAAATAAGATATTTGACCATTCAAATAAAGCTACAGGACACAAGAGATCCATTTAACAACCCACCCATTCATTAGGAAAGAATTATATAATCAAAATGGTTTAAGATTCCAGCTAAATAAATATTAAGTTGAAACTCGAAGCACGCAATGACACAACAAATTGCTAAAAAGAAAACGAAATAAAAACCATAATCTTGGTAAGTGCCTTTGTTCAACAAATCATAATATATATATATATATATATATATTAAGTATATTTTGGTCTTGATAATCGCATCAGGTTTCAGTTTGGTCTCACAAAGTAGTTACCATCAATGCATTTCATTGATGTTTTGCCGCAGCATGAGATCCTTCGTCCTTGAATATTTACAAGTGCTCCACAGACCTCATGATCAATCACAAGAATACTTTTTATCTCTCTTTCTGCTCAGAATCCAATTCATCTCTTTCTAGAAATCTTTATTTGCACCAGCCAAAGCACCAACTCTGAAGAAACGAGGTTTTGAAGATAGAAGCATCAGTATAGGGAAAAACTACAAACTTTCAAAACTATTCTCAATATAACAAAAGTACTGCTAGGTACGGTTTCATCATTGTATCTGACATGGTTACCATAGAAAACAACTATTTCTTTTTTTGACCAGATACCACAACTATTCCAAAGCACAAGTTACGGGCAAATCCAAACTTACCATATAAACAAGGAATAAATAAAATTCTTATGATAATTGTAAACCTTCTAGAGTATATAATCAACCAAAATAGTAATCCAAGTTTCCACCATGCTTAAATCAAAGTAATATGCAATAACCAAGTTTTCCGCACAAGTCTGTGCATAGTTATTATAACTTTTGAGTTAGTAAGATTTCATATCAATATTGGAAGAATAAGTTTGTAGGTGCTCTTACAATTTATTCAATATGTAGGTGTACCTATAAAAGCCTAAGAGGTTCATATTTTGGATTTTCAAGTAACCAAAGAATATTGGTAAAGTACGTATCTGTGCAACTTGATTCTGGCCACAACATGCATCATACGTTGTTGGCATACCTTTGCTTTGTCTTTAATATCTTGGTTCCGGACAATATATGGTCTCTGAGTGGGTGTGCCGGGCGCTTGTCCGCCACCAGCTCTCTCCTCCTTCACTTTGTTGAAAAGTTGAGTATAACCATCAGCTGATGCAGGGTCATTTTCATCCCACTCGCCAAATTTGGGAACAGCAGCAGCTTTGTCAGGCTGCAAGACCGGAATGCTAAAGATTAGAATTTAATTCCAAGGTCTGAGTTTATTCATAAAATCAGGGAGCCAATTGGTACTGGGCTGTCTCGAATGACCAAAATGTGGTTTTACTCTTGATGTGATATGTATTAAAACTTTTCATTTCTTAAGAATAGATGTTACAATAAAACAGCAGGGCAGGATAAATAAAGAACTAACAGATTCATCGCCTCGATGAGGTGTTCTGAGTCGGGATCTTCCTGGTGTACCATGGCTGCTGTCGTAGGAATTCTTTCCTTCCCAAGAGGGACTATCTCTGCCTGGGGTCTTCACCAAGCGATGAAGGGGTGAGCGTTCAATAATATACTCAGACCCAGTACCTTGTTTTGCAAATTTCTGACGAGTGTCAGCAGAACCGACTCCCTGACGATGTGTTGAATCATTGCCACTTCTATCACCCATACTGTCATGACGAGCTGGAAAATCAGTAGAAGGCTTAGGAGCAACATCATCCGTGCTCTTTTGTAATTCAAGTGTTGATCTCGCTGATCCTTTTCCATTTTCATCCTCTGAATTAACCATGGGTTCAGTAGGTGGGAGATCAGAAGAAGATGAATTATCATGAACTGAATCTGGATTCCGCTCAGGAACATTTGGATTCATCCTTGAGCCAGTTCGATCTTTTCGTGCCTTCTCAAAATAAGCTGTATAAGGAACATTATCTTCATTTTCCCAACTGCCAAATCTTGGTACTTGAGCGCGTTGCTGTCACATTGACACATTAAAAAGAGCCCGTCAACCTCCCAGTAAAATATCAATAAATAGAACCCCAAATACAAGTTTTAGTTTGCTTCCACAAATCAGGATAAGGGTCAATGGTGAAGAAAATGGTGAAGAAAAGAAAACATTTAAAAAACAAAAAGCTCGTTTGTCTTACCTGGCAATGAAGATTAAATTTTGGCACAAAGGGGAGGATGATGTAGAACGCCGAAAAACAAGGGAAGGAGAGAAAGGGTGGGAGAAGTGGTCGAAAGAATATGAGGTAGGAGAAAATAATTGAAAGTTCTTCATATTATTCAATGCCAGAGGTCGTACCAATGAAGAGTTTTAGCACATATTTATAGTGCCCTGATCATCTAAAAGATTACATTGATTCAAACAAAATCCTAAATCAAAACAGAAAACAGAATCAAATATCCTTCTTTCTCTTACAAGCCACAAAAAAAGAAAGAAAGAAAAGGAAAGAAAAAGATTCAGCGTGTCCAAGGTTACTTCCAAAGAGATGGTGATGATGATTGATGACATACATAGTTCAGTGTTGGAAGAATTTATTTGATCCTTCCCTTTCAGCCATCTTGTGGCAAAATCCTATGGTAAGTATTAGCTTATAAATGTACTTTTGTGCATAATCAAACGAAAAAATGTAGCCATTTGAGTAAAAAAAAAGTGCTAAAAATAGCATCTTTAACAACTGTTGACGGTGGCTGATTTAGCATCACATAAAGCTTAATCTCAAATCTAGGGCATTTCATACTAAAGTTTTCCTCATAAACTCAAAAAGAAAATCATGCAAAGCACCACAACAAAGCCAGCACGATAATCTCTTCCAATGCAAATGAAATATTAGATATTAGACTTCAAAATTCAAGCACTTCTCCAACCAAGTAAAGCAAATTACTGCAAATATGGCACACTGTAATCAGAGAGAGAGAGAGAGCTGTGTGCTCGGAAGAAATGTATTGTTTGATTGAACTCCCTGTAGCAATATAAACAGAAAATAGGGTCCTCCTTGTAAAAGTAGCTATCTCCAACAACAAACAAGGGAAAACTAATATCTCGAACGAACAAACTTGTACAGCTTAACTATCAGCTTCTATTGATTCAACATGAGGAAACACCAAAGAGATGAAAGCGTGTTTTGGTTCTATAACTTCATACAAAATTTCAGTTTCATCCCTTAATTTCATAAAGTACCTTTTCGGTCCTCTAAATCACTGATATAATTTTTTATGCGAATCATTGCTATTTTTAGAAATTATGCTTAGTAAGTCAGCATTTGAAAAATCTAAAAGTTTAACATGTTAGGATTGAACAGGGAAAGACACACTTAAGGTAAGTTAAAGGACAAAGATGCACCTTTGCCACAAATACCGTGTTGTTAAGTTTTCCTTTTCCATAGTCCTCACCAAAAATTTATTTCAGGGTAAGGAGAAAGAAAGGAGCCTCGATTCATCATGCTATTCTTAACTTAAACACTATATGGTTTATAATTATAAAAGTAGCTGCCACTTACAAGGATAAACCAATAAAACTAAACATCACGAGATTCTAACTGAATATGCTCGATCTGGCTTCCAAACAGAGTCTAACTTCGTTCAACTTGATAAAGACATCAGAAGATGAAGAAAAAGAAATTCTCTACTTTTAGGGAGGGGAAAGGCAATATAATGCAGGTGATTGAAACTCCGATTTCTCATCAACACAGAGAGACAAGGCGTGACGAACCTAAGAAAAAGAGAACTTACACAAGAGAAGAGAAAGAAAAAACTTACCGCCATTTCTTTCTGAGCTGAACTCGCAAAGAAACTCAGAAATTGCCGGGACTAATTCGTCAAGAAATTAAGCTTGACGGACCAGACCACGTAGAGAACTCAACGCAAGAAGCCCCTCCACAGACTTGAAGGACCCAGCGAAATTGAGAGAGAGAGGTTTTACTATCATTGACCGGTGCCACCGGTAACGTCTGACCATTCTCTTCCATCTTGCTTTCTCTCTGTAAATTCCGAGTTTCGTCGCTGTTTCAGAGCTTTTCCCTCGTTCACCACTGCAATCTGGTGTTTTCCTTTTTCTTTTTCAGCGGTGAAAAAAATTCTACAAAAATTTACTTTGAGAAAACAGCCAAAAAAAAGAGTTAGAAATAAAAAAAAAATTGCAAATAAGAACCGTTATAATATTACTATTGATTTTGATAAGAATTAATAAACAAATAATAACAATTTTATGAATGATCCTTATATACGATTTTTTTAATTTTTAAGATTTTTTTTTTTTTTGCGATTTTTCATTTACTTTGCCACAAGTGTTTATTTCTCTTAAAGTTGAAATTTTTTTAGGAAAAAAATTATTTTCCTTATCTGTTATCCTCTAAAAAATTGGAAAAATTGGGAATAAATCTCTTCTTAAAAAATTAATCGGTATGTAGTCTCTAAAAATTTTGTGCAACCCAACTTTCCTTATTTGTAATTCATTTTCCCTTATTTACAGTCATCTTCTCTTATAGGATATGTAACATTAAACTTTCTTTATGGGTAAGTTATCTTCTTTATATGTAAATTAGTTTCTTATACCTAAATAATATTTCGTGCAAATTATTTTCTTTTTATGCAGTTTGGGTATTTGAATTAGTGTTTTGAAAGTGATTTTTCAGATTTATCTTGTATCCAATTCAACTTTCTTTATCCAATCTATCATCTAGTTACTATTTGTTGACTAAATTTTTAATGAGGGCCAATTTTTCCAATGAAGGCCAATTTTTCCAAGATATTGTATCCGACACTATCCTATATCTTTCCATAGAATATGAATATGAATAAAAGTTTAATTAATTATATTACTAACAAATAACAAAGGACTTTGTACTTTAATGTCTGCTAACTCCCAAGATCCCTATGTTTTTATCTAAAATTAGACTCTGTTCTGATACATCATTTATCACTCATTCCATAATTATTTATGAGAAAGAGTGACAAAGAATAAGATAAAAACAGCCATTTCATTTATTTTCACTAATATTAATATTCGAGTTCTTCATACAATAAACTAATTGAGATGAAATTTGAGATATAAACTAAATAATGATTTTATAATATGATTTTTCGAATTTCACAAAAGCAATTGGGTGGAGGAAAAACTAACTACTAAATAAACAAGTAATATAAAGGACGTTCCGACGTTGTCGCCGGTCAACAAAAAAAAATCAAAGGACGATGTTGCCAGCCGGGTATGTTTGCTTTTGTCGGCAGATTGGTTTTAGCATTATTGACTATTAACTATTGTGTCCAGGACCTCCCACATCTTTTAATCTTCTTGATTTAAGAAAAAAGTGCTTAAACTCATTCAACGAGTTATTTTTCACTTATCAACAAAGTATGCTTCCAATGGTGTTTTGGGGTAATGGCACAAAAGCTTCTTATCTTGGCAGATCAAGTGAATGTTTGGTGTCCGAGAAAAGTATTTTTGAAAAGTATTTTTTCACAAATCAAGACATACTCTTCCACATATTTGTTCGTATATCGTAAAATTATTTTTGAAATCATTGTTTGTATTTCATCCGAACACTCCCTAAATAAACAAAGTAGGGTGATGTAAATTTATTATAGATTTATTTTCTTAACCTAGGATTTTAGGCTCCGTAAATATCTTGATATTTAGGTTGACCCTATTAGAAATAAATCATACTATCTCTGATATTTAATATAAAAGCTAGTTGACTAATTTGAGTATATTAAAAAAATTAATTAAGTTAGTTATTTATAATAAATAGGTATTGTCTTTTCTAAAATATCGTTGCTAATCAAGTGTATTGGTTAGAACTATCATTATTACAAGGACTATCTCATGAAAGAATAAATAAATATAATAAACAAAATAAATTGAGATCTTATATTTAAGATCAAAATAAAAATTAAATAAATAATTATATTAAAAGATGAGGTAGTAAATCACAAGTTTAACACCAAGTAGTGAGTCAACAGAGAGAAAAATTTGAGCTTGGAAAGCGAGGTTATTTTCTTAAGCAGCTCGCCTACCACTCTGTTTTATCTTGTGTCAAACTTCCTCAACACATTGTGCTTACATTGACTCACGATCCATTGATTTGCCTTCCCCCCCCCCTCTTGGATTCATATTAAATAGTGATTTCAGTAAGAAAAATTTTATTTTAATAATTGTCTTTATGTCATTTATGCTTATTCTATAAAAATATTTTCAAAACAGGTTGTTAATTACATTATCAAACTTGTTAATATTGTTATATGATTTGTTAACAAAAAATTCTAATTTATTAGGCTCTCAAAAATCTCTCAATATCAAAATACCTCTCACATCACATGGTAAATAATGTTATTAGAGTTGTTAATATTATTACAAGAATTGTTAACCGTATTATTAAAGTTGAAAAAAAAATCGCTCTTTTCACAAGTTCCTAAAAAAAAGTTGTTAATTAGATTATGAAACTTGTTAATACTGTTACATAATTTGTTAGTCATGTTATAGAAGATGAAAATTTTTTAATTTATTATGCATTCACTAATCTTTCAAAAACTTTGTGATACGTAAGCGAATGCCAAATAATATCTGTACATTTACTTATGCCATTTATTATCCTGCATAATAATGTGAAAATTTTTCAACTTTTGTAAACGTAGTTGATAAGTTATATAATGATATTAACAAGTTTAATAATGCAATTAATAACTTGCTTTTAAGGAAATTGTGAAAGTAAGATTTTTTCAATTTCAGTTATACGGTTAATAACTATTGTAAAGATATTAATAATTCTAATAACATTATGGACTACATGATTTGAGAGGTATTTTGATTTTAAAAGATTTTTAAGTGTCTAATGAATTGAGAATTTTTTAATTTCTGTAATATAGTTGACAAGTTATATAACGGTATTAATAAGTTTGGTGACACAACTAATAATTTGTTTTCAAAATGTTTTCATAGAATAAGCATAAATAATATGAGGAATATGATTATTTCGGCAAATTTTAAAAAATTCTATTTGTTCATGTTTAACTAAAAAGGCACATGCATTGTCCACAGTCAAAATACATATCAATTACTGCAATTCTAGAGACTCGCTCCAAATCCAGTCCTATGAATGGATGTTCCCAACTCGAGACAATCGATCTGTGAACAAGTGCACTATGAGACAAACAAAGTCAGGCTCATAGCAGACTAATTTGGTAATTGGATAGTGGGTTTCTCATTCCAGATTGGTTTATGCAGTGTCTTGGAGGCGGAAGCTTAGGGTATAGGGACTAAAACTGGCCTGAGATTTTGGATTCAAGAAAGTTATACTTGAATTGCAAAAAGTTTGGTTGATTCTCTAGCTGAAGATCATCCTACTCCTTCTTGTAGCCTTCTGTTCTTACAGATTCATGATTCGTTGATGTATGACTGGGAGATCAGGTTATGTTTTACTGGAAGGCAAGCAAACAATGCTGTTAATGCGTTGGCCAAGTTGGGGGATACTTGTTTCTTCCTATTTTGATGCCTGCCCGAGTACTATGAGGAACTTGGTAGAAAAGGACTGGAATCTAATTCCACTTAGCTCCTTTTTTTCCTGAACTTCTCAAGAAAAAAAGAAAAAGGGGTCAGGTTCACAGCCTAGACTCTACATCCCTACCAATGATTCCAGTTTTTTTCCTGCAAAACCATTTTGAGCTAAGCCCAAAATCAAAGCAGCCCAAAATATGATATTTTAGTGAGGCATCAAAGAGAACACTTGAAAAGCAGGTCTCCTATTTTCAAATCAAGCAACCTGCTGCACACCTTCAATGCCACAGTAAAAACAAAACTACTGGGTCTAACTCCTTTGAAAATGTCCTGTGGTAAATATTTAGAACTTCATTTGGATACCCTTTATGATGATAATATGCAGCAAGCACAGCGTTCCTTATACCACCACCTCATTGAGACATTTGAAACATCTGATCGAACTTTTGGCGGGCTATGTGATATCACCACCACGTGAACGAGATGCTATGAGCTGCTCGACAATGGGGATGTTTAAATGGAGTCAAACTATAGCTTTAAAAATATTTTTACGATATACGAAATAAATATATGAAGAAGTCTGTCTCGTTTTATGAAAAAAATGTTTATGAAAAGCACTTTTTCATCTTGTCAAACACCCCAATGTTATTTTAGGCGAAGGTACCATTCAAGATTATTATCAAAGTGTGAAGCTTCACAATTGAAGGCTTTTGTTCACATGTCAGGAGTTCTCTGTGTAAAAGCTAGATGATTAATTTATAAATATTTAAAAAAAACTAAATTAGTTATTTATAATAAATGTATGATATCTTTTTAAAAATATTCCTATTAATAATGTGTATTGAAACTGCTATTAATAGAGACACTCTAACATGTGTAATCACTATCAAAATTACTTGAGGGATAAAATGGATGAGCATTGAAAACAAAATAGATTAAAATCTTATATTTAGTACAAATTAAATATCTAACCAATTCTTATATTAAGAATATGACGCAGTAATGCAATTCAAAAGGTTCCAAAATAATTACTCTGTTGATCATAAATATAATACCTATTTTGTAATATAATGTACATTATAAAATGGTTCTTATATTTAAAACTGGATAAATATTATCCTCTTGTCTTTACTAGTCTGACACAAAATTACCCACTGGTTAACTAACTTCACAAAGGTTAACGTTTCAATTTGTTAATCTTTCCCAAACATATTCTAATTCTTATACTCCTTCCAGTTCTAAATATAAGACCTATTTTATAATGTAATCCTAAATATAAAACCCATTAAATGAGTCTTATATTTAGAATCGGAAGAGTAATGACCAATTGTAATGCTTAATGTTTAATGATTTGTTGTAAAATTTATAAGCGTGATATAATGCAGCCGTGATAAAATTTATACTAATGTTAATGCTAATTTATGTGCAAAATATTGATTATTTATGAGAATAATATTTATATCAAATTCTTTATACCTAAATCATGTGTGGTTAAAGAACTTGGTATAATAAATATAAAATATAAATTTTCCCTAATAAATTTTAAGTTTTTTATCCAAAAAACGTTTACTTTGATTATTGATATGGATTGATATACTTTTAAGCGTATAAAACAGAGTGCGGGTCATTTACCTGAACATTGCTCACTGGGGGTTGATCGATACAAAACTGAAAGGTGAACAGTAGAAACGAAGCCAATTAAAGTTACAGAAAACTTCGGTTGCTTGCCGCTATTGCAATGGCGGAGATCTCTGAATCTCCGTTACAAACTTCCGAAGAGAAGAGCCCAGTGACTCAGATGTCGGAGCCACACGAATCCGATCCCGACTTTGATCCTAAGACCATGCGAAAGGCCAAACCTGGGTTGAAGCGCCTCATCCTCAGTCTCTCTGTCCTCTTCTCCTTCATCCTCGGTCTACACACTCTCTAACTATGTGTTGTGTTTGTATGTGTTTGTATGCTTGTAATTTCTACAACTAATTGGTGTGCCTTTATTCTTTTCAGGATTCCCTATTCTGTGGAAATCCATTGAAATCTATCGCGCCCCACTTCCATTCCGAAGTATTGAGTCTTTTTCAGCTCAGATTGAGTCCAACCCGTTACTTTTTCCATGCCAATTCCAGGCAATATTTGTTGGCTTTGATTCTAAGAGCTTTGGAGCAGATGAGCTTGAATCAGCGATTGAGAAGAGAATGCTTGAGTTGAGCTCCAAATCTTCGCAATGTGGCACTTGTAATGATAACTATACTGTATCCGTGGTTGTGGATTCCCGGTCCCATTGCGTGGAGACAAAGAATATGAAACCATCATGCTCTTGGAAGTGTGGTCCAATCAATAAATTTGATTCTATTGGGAAGTTGAAGGATAATGACGAAGAGGCTGACGAATTGCTGCAGTCTATGCTAGGGTCTTGTTATGATTCTGGGTATGGAGGCAAGGTTTATAGTGTTGTTGTGGTGAACGGTGATGAGGAAGTGAGAGCTGTGGTTGGGAAGTATCGTCATGCATGGATAACTGGAACCATTTCTGAGGAGGAGGCAGTGTCAAGGATAGCTGAAATCTTTGTTAAGGTGTTTGTTAACGGTGGGAAAGAAGAAGGTTCGATTCAAGGAGAGTTCATGCCTGTGGGTGCTGATGGGAAGATTGTTCTATCTTTTAGTTTGCTCAATGCAGACCCACGAGATTGGGTGTATGATTGGTATGGAATATTGAAAGTTGAAATATTGTAGTTACATTAATTTCGTTAAAATGTTTTCCAAATGTTCATTTTCGTTCTTTTCCTTCTTTTGTAAATGTAATACTTTGTGGGACTACGAGCATTGTTTTTCTGGTCTTCATCATCTCATGGCCTTTCTCAAACGTCATTTTTCTGGTTGTTTTATGAAATATTGATATATGAAATCGTATAGAGCCATTATGCTAATCTGATTAATGCTGGATTGTTAGGGTTAGATTTGAAGCCTTAATTTATGCAAGAATAAAAGATGTTGTTGGCCTATTTGTTATCTCAGAACTTCACGCGTTCTGGAATATGTTTGTTTGTTTTTTTTTTCCCCCTCCTCATCTTTGCCCCTTTTTTCTATGCCAAATTCTTGTGTTTGATTTGATGGATGCGGTTATCATTGTGTATTGAACTTTATGTGAAAGAAGATATGATTTATATAAAATTACAAGTTGGAGCAGCTATAGAATATATGTGCTTCTAGTTGATCAAAGCTTATTCTGGCCGATAGTTGCTGGATTGGTATATAAAAACCTCAGTTGCTGAGTATTTTTTTCCTTGATAAATAAAAAAACTAGACACTGTTTATAATGTGTAGCAGCATAAGCTTGATGATGCTCTAGAGTTCTCATGATGATGCTATTGTAGGAATTTTCATGAGGTAGGCGAGGTTCTAGTGCACCCTGTGATTGAGGCTTTGCAACCTATTGCTAATGTAACAGTTGAAAGCCAGGTGAGTGCTTGTAAGTCTAACAGTGATGAGACTAATTTGATAATTTGGATTTGAATGGTTTTAATGGTCATCATCATTGGCAGGTTTTATACTACACACCGAAGTCTTCATTATCTTTCTGGGATGATAGGCATGGCAGTCATATATTTAGTACCAAGGACCTTCCTTTCTTTGTACGCTTCTTGTCTAGTGCTTTACAGCCCTTAATTGAATAGCATGTACACTTCAAAAATGCAGCTTGCAGTATTCAATGTGCCTTTCCATCTAGAGCCCTATACATGTTGCAAACCATGATATCTCACATTCTCACTTATAAAAGGAGGATATTTGACGTCGAGTCATTTGCTCACCTCTTTCGGTTCATGGCAGAAAAATAGCTATGAATTCTTTGTCTCTGTTATGCTTAAAATATTCTGTCCTTTTATCATTGTTATGCAATGTTTCTAGTATCTGGAATATTATAAGAAGTTATTTTGGTTAAGTCAATATTTCTTAGGGTTTGATAGAGTACAATGATGTTATGTGATTCATGTGGCTGATGGGATAAGACATGTTATTGTTGTTGGTGTTGAGTCAATATTTCTTGTTGAACAGGTTAATTCAAATGAGTGGCACTTGGATACTTCTGCTGCTGCTGGCGGGAGGTCAAAGATATTGCAATTTGTGGTGTATATTCTTTAACTCAATCCTATCATTACTTAGGCTTTATTCGCATATTTAATGAGATATAACTTGTTGAGTAATTGATAAGTACATCTGAAGATAAACATTTTAATGAAAAAAATAATTCATGGATGAGAAAAGAATGATTTACAAAGATAGAATGACAGGACACAAGTTTCTTTCCTAAAGGAAAGAAAGATGTAAACAACCCAGACTTCGGCTCAAAATAGCCTTCTGATCCCTGTGCAGATCTCCAAGGAACGAACCCCCTTTCTCAAACCACCCAAAAAAAAAAAAAAAATTCTCCTTAGAAAACCCTTATCAGAAACCCATGAGAAGGACATAAAAATAGTACTCTCCCCCAAAGACGATGTGGTGGAAGTAGCTGCCAATTACATATTAGAGCGACACTGCACAGTGCCGGAGAAATTTGTACCCCTTTGGCCTACACCTGAGATAAATATTTAGTCTAGATCATTTTATTTATAACCTTAGCATCAGAGAAAAAGAAAAGCTTCATATAACTTTTCTGATTTTATCTTTTCTCTCTCTCGGCTGATATGCACGTGCATGTGTGTGTGTGTCTTCTCAAATTTTTGGTTTTAGCTTAAAAATCATGTTTAGCTGTAGGGCAACTATTATAATAGCCAGAGTATAAATTTCAAGCTTCTTTGTCTTTTATAACAGGTATATACCTTCTGCAAAGGAGTGCCCTCTTCAATTGATACTTCCAAATGGAGAGAGATCTGAGACAAATGGTTTTATATCACCGGTTAATCTTCACAACTTTAAAATCGCATCACCTCTTCTCTTTGTATTTTTGCTCCCATGAAATTGCCAGATTGCTTAACATTGAAGGTTCCAATCTGGAATATTGTAGATGTGGGGAGGTGTTGTCGTCTGGAATCCTAAGAGCTGTGTAAAGAACTCAGATACTAAAGATATAGTCAGGAATATGATTTCTCCACAGGTTTTCTTTTCTTCATTGATTAGAATGTTTATCAGTTTCGTATCTGCCATATACTGATACCTTTTAACGTTTTATTGTATCTATAGCACACCAACATAGAGTAATCAGTTATACAAATAGATGTATGGAATTGCATTTTTCTGGTTTTTTGAAGTGCCTACTTTAATTTCCATTGAACAAATTTAATGGCACCTGAACACACACAGTCACATTTTTGCAGATGGTCATGCATTATTTTCCTCTATATTGAAGCATTCATATTTTGAAACAGGATCTCCAGAAGGTTTTTGAAGTTGTTTTGGGGCAGCTCCGGCAACTTTTTGGTCTTAAGTCCACTAACCTCTACGTTGGTCTATCAGGAACATCCATCCTCCTTGGGAGTGAAAGAGGTTTCACAGAATGGTAAAATTAATGGTTCTTAGACCTTAATGATTTTTTTTGGATGACTTTTGAAAGCGTGATGCCAGCTGCACAAACTAACCACATAGGTACTAAATGACCATCATATTTCAAATTGATTTAGTGAGCATATATTCTGACTACCGAAGGGGCAAATGTTTTGAATTATCATTTTGTAATTGTGCAACAGCACAAGTCCCCCGTTGAAATGGTCGTAGGCGTTCAAGGAAGAGGTCTCCTATAGAACAATTTGTGAGGGATGCATGGTATGTAAGCCATGAATAGGATATTGCTAGTAACAGGCTGAAGCATTTTATGGGGTGGTATTAACTCATGCCTCTTCAGTGACTCACTCAATTAGTTTCTTGGGATGCTGCATATGGAACCCATTTACATCATATAATATGTGCATATACTTTAAATAGGTGAGTTCGTTTTTCCTTGCTTTCTGACTTTTATAACAAGACACTGAAAGAATTGGCTGCATGTGTAGGGAGTTGGATGTTTTATCCCGGCACCATACATGCTTTAATCTTCAAACTTGTGCTACGACGCTTGGATCTCTTTCTAGATTGGTATTGTTATCAATGATGTCCTTTCTTTATATGTTGTCACATGTACATGATTTAGCTTGCTATTATTGGCTAAAGCTCAAAAATTTCTCTAGGTACAATCGTTGCCTAGGATGATTATCAAGGATGAAATTGGAAAACAGGTGAGTTCAATTTTTTTTTTTTTGGGCCTGCGGCAAATATAGGTAAACAATACTATTTAGTTTTTAGCAATAATCCGTAAGTTAGCGTAGCAATGCCATTTTTTCCCGTTTGCATCCAGGTGCAGCGTGCAGACATCTCAGCTATATGTTATGCAATTGCAAATTATATTCAGAAATTGTATACTTCGATTTTTCAGTTTTATTAATCACGATATAATTGATTATTTAATATCACTTATGCCTAATTTAACTATATGCCAATTTTTCTAAATCATTTCTTACCTTGTAGTCTTGTAGATATGGATTTAGATTTTCTCTCTCTCATCCCCTCAACGTGTTGTCTTTGAGCAGGTGAAGTTTTCTCTAGAGGCTGCAAAATTGGCTCAAAGTAATGCATCTGTTGGCATATACGATGCTTCAGCAGGTAATATTCTTCCTTGACTTGAACATTGATATCAAATCTTGTTGCTGGTTATGTTAAGGCTTACTTTTTATATTCCTTGTTGCTAAATTATAATAAAATATTTGAATGTCAGTATCCTCAAGGCAATCAAGGTCTTTGGCAGAGGATGCCTTTTTTCACCCTTCAATTATGTCAATCAGCTATTATTCATTTGAGCATTGTTTTGCCGTCTATTCGGTTTGTCTCTCAACTCTGTCTATTCTAAACCTTGAGCTGGAAGTTGAGTAAATCATTGTCTTATATTTTTTCTCTTGTTGCAGCCATTCTTTCTTCCAGTTTTAATGCATGTAATATTGGCTGCTTTAAGAGAATGGAAAAGGTACAAGCAAGAAAATTGGAAGTACTTGGCATGGAAGACCAAAGCAAAAATTACATCTTGATCCCCTTGGCCCTGGAGGGTTTGTGTGAAGGTTCCCCTGTAGAGTGAGATCTAGATGATGGGTGAAGCATTCTAACACATGTAAAATGCTTCCCCTCCTTAAGTTTTGCTTAATTGTTGTGTTTATATAGAAATTAGAAGCTTTCACCAAACATTTTAGAACCTGGCAATATTTTCTGATGACAGTTGACGGTTGAAACGGCAAATTTGTTTTGACACATTACCGAAGGGGTCTCATGATAATTTATATACAGGAGGAAGAGATACTGAGAGCCATATTCTGTCATTAGACTGGTCAGGTTTCTTTATGGCTTTTCATTCTAACCCTCAAGAAAGGGTGGAGGAAAGAAATAGGGGAATAAATTGAACGAAATAGGATCCATTTATTCATAACCGGCAAAATTTTAACTTTATGCAAGATCCATGGGGCAGCTACGGCACAAGATTTCACGCAATATTGTCGTATATTGTACCAGCAATTTTCGCACAAATGAATTTAAAGGACACAGTTAAATTAATTGTGTTTATTTTTGGTATTACTGGCATAGGTGTCAACTGACTTCATATAAAGCCAATTCTCTTCAAACCTAGGTTAAAAGTAATTCCATTGCATTTAACAATGACACGGCTAATTTCAACGAGTGAAATTTTTAATTTATCGACCATTTTTGGCAAAAATTTCAATTTCAATGTGGTGCACGATAACGGCTTCTTTTGGAGCTCCATACAAATCATAAAACGGCATATTTTTCTCGTCCTCTTGGCTTGTATCACCTGCTACTATCGGCTTAATAATCGTACAACGTAACTGCTAAGTTATACCTAACATCAGAAAACACATAGGCTCTGATGTGGAATACCACATAACAGTTCATTGAATAATGTGCCACATGAATTCAAAAACAAACTCTTACATTGCGAAGAGAGACAACATGGAGTGTTTGAATTATTTTGATGTCAATAAAAGCCACGTTACTAAAAGGCTAGGGAGCTATAATAGATTCCATTATATCAGATTTTAAGTTATCTAATATCAATATTCAATTGCATGATTCTGCCACTAACAATCAATGAAACTTGCGGAGGTAGAGGGAAGAGGATGAAAAAAAGGGGGCTATAAAAGCATAAAAAGAAAAGCCAAAAGAAAGGGCGGTTAGAAACAAGGTTAATGAAGTATAAACATAAGCCTAGAACATAAGCTATATCTGTAACAATATTACACTACCAAACGAAGTAAAATATAACTGTTTCCAATTGTCAACCCTTTGACTCTAAAGCTAAAAGTATCTTCTTCCTTGGCCCCTGAAAACAACAATGTAAATTCAGAATGAGACACATTAGGGGGGGGGGGAAGGAAATTAAAGACAAAGGTGAACATGGTTGGATGAAATACGAGGGCATGATGTGACTATGATATAATACTCTCTGAAACTATCGCATCTAAATGATCCATAACACCACAATTATGGTATTGATTCTTGTTTATTTTTGGGCCAACAGTATTGAGAAGACTATATTTTGAACAGAAAGTTAATATTCCAAGTCACTTTTAGCGAAAGTAAAGCATTGCTTTCAAAGGTGACATCAAGTCCCATAACCTTGAGACCTTCCTGCTGGAGGAAAATCTGTTCTAGTAGGACAGAAGTCGCATCAAGTTGACTAATTCAATATGCTACGGGTAAATTGCATGGGCAAACATCCCCAACTTCATGTCATTGATGGAGTAACCATCTCACAGCAGCACTAATACGAACATAAAATTCAGGGTCTGGGATTCCAAGGAAGCATGGAGTAGTTACTCACTAGTAAGTGATACGCAACAATTGTGAATGGCTCACAAGGGCATTGTCCTATCCAACATGCTCGATGCACACACAAAATATTGCTGCAGGAACACAATGCATAGTGCAAGCACTTCAATTACACTTACCATTGGTATACCCATAGCCTTGAGATCATCATCAGTCATGTGCATGAGAGCTGTCATATCAACCTGAAGAAACAGGTTTTACAGATGAAATATTAACTCCGGATGAAAAAAATGAAATCCCAATAGCATTGACCTTGCAACTAAAGGAAAATGGAAAGAAAGATTTGTTAATGCGCTACATACTTCTTCAGCTTGAAAAGTTATGAGATACTTCCCAAGACCCAGGGAATGCAAGAATTCATCCACTGAAGTACCAGCCTGTAAAGCAAGAACAGTAGTTATAGTGAGGAAATGCAAATTAAGAGTTCAAGAGTTTTGGAAAATATAGGGAGAAAACATTTAACAAAATTGATATCCTCATGCAAATTATGTGAAGATGACACTTCTTGGACCAAAACTAATAAAATTTTATAAACATAAATTGACTCCCAGAGCAAGCACACTGTCACCTACCACAACTATGATCCGGGTCCATCAAAATGGGCTTACATGCCAAATTAAACCTATCATATACCTCTTTAAACAGTCAGCCCGTTAGCATTATGTACAACACCAAATGCTTCACCCATTTTCACCATCTTCCGCCAGCAATTTCAAATATTACAAACACAAGATTCATGTTTGATAAATAATAATCTCATTATCATTATTACAGGACATCTGTAACAAGACAAACTGTGCAGTGCAATGGCAGATCCTCATTATATCATCAAGTGCACTTAATTGCAATTCCCACAGCTGCTATGATAGTCAATTAATTTATGCCTCTTTACCCATCAAGCTCCCGACAAAAATACTACCTCCGGTCCTTAATATAAGAGTTAATTGACTAATTTGAGTATATTAAGAAAATTTGTCAAATTAGTTATTTGTAACAAATACGAGTTGAATTCCCTAAAATATCCTTACTAATCATGTGTTAACTAGAACTATAATTCGATGAAATCTTTAATATGTGCAACCACAATAAGGACTACTTTGAAAAAAATGATTAAATATAAGAGACAAAGTGAATTATGATATTATATTTAGGACTAAATTAAAAGTCAAACTAGCTCTTATATTAAAAATGTAGTAATAATTATGCCCCTGCTCTTCAATGATACATCTACCTAAACTTCTAACAATTTTTACCAAGTTCGGAAGGCACATAACAAATGGTCATAGCTGCGTGGTTGTTATTCTCCAAATAATATTCATAAAATTCTCTTAAACTTCTATCTCATGACAAAAGTATATTCACCTCTACATGTTTTATCTCACCTTCAAATAAAGTTACCAAAAAAAAAAAAAGAAATCCACATGCCCTACTTATCTTTTATCATGCTACTATTAATCTACTTCAACACCAGCATCTCCGATACAACTTTCAAACCTTAACATGTTTTTTTTTTTTTTTTGGTTTAATCTCTCACTAATGTACATCTAATATATTGAATCTTGCCAGCACATCCTATTCCTAGTAGTGCTTTGTGACAAATAATGGATCAGCTAGCAGAACCAGATTTTATGCTTCAATTACAAAAGAATGCTTAAGCAGCAAGAATTCCTGCTTCATTTCATTTGACCCAGTGTTACCACACTAAATGACCAGGCAAATGAACTAGATTCTTGGGTTAGGTTCATGTTATAATTTCCAAAATCCAGTTTTCCAAAGCCCTCTCACGGGTTGGTTGAATGAGGGTGAATACCAGAGAGAGGAGCTAAATGGTTGGTAGTGGCTCAACAGATGACCTCAAAGCAAGTGATTCAAAGGTTCTTGGAGCCTTCAATGAAGATGGCTAAGTTAGATACCGAGCATCTCTTCCTTCAAGCTTATAACTTTTAATAGAAACCAACTCTGAAATAACTTATCCATCTTTTTCTATTATTTAAGAAAAATCAGAATTTTTTAAGTTTGAGCTCCATTCTTCTAAATATATCTCCCCTCTTATCTGGATTCACAATCTGATATTCTAACTTTTAAACAAAATAGAAAGAGGGGCCGCAAAGCTTCCCTGAAGATTCGTGCTTTCATTTAAGAGGGTAAAAGCACTAATACACCTAACACACTTTAATTACTATGCAGTCATCCTCCATGCAAGACACAACAGGGTATGCACCATCCAGTAAAAGTTGGCGTTAAAGCATAATGAACATTAAGAATGACCAAAGACAGTTAGTTGATACCAAATTACTAACAAATAAAGAAAAATAATAATAACGATTAACCTTTTGTGATGTCTTCTTTTTGGAAGCTGGGTTAGTTGCTCTTTTCGCAGGAGCCTCAGCAATGACACTTTTACTGCTTGGTTTAACAGCTTCCACTTTTGACTTTGGTGGATCTGAGTTTTTAGGCTGTTGAGTCATTGTCCCTGATAACTTTTCACGTAGATCACGCATACCTGTAGCAGAATTCTTTCCACTCTGAGCAGCTGGTTGAAGCCCCCTTTTCTGAAGCTTCAGGCGAAGATCAGGAGCACCGAGCTGGCGTTCTTCACAAGTCATTAAGAAAAATATCAAAACCCATAAAAGAAATAAAGGCATACAGCAAGATCAGCAACTTGTACTTGCATATGATAATAACAAAGTTAATCCATACTAGAAACTCGAGGTTCATCATCCTCAAAAAGATCATGCTCCCATTTGTCTTCTTGTCTCTGCCTGCAAAATAAATGCCTCTTAACTAAATCATTAAAATTTTTATTTTAAATAGTCATTTCAACGTTCAAGAATATCGAATAACTTGCCACGTAGGAGGGGCATACTTATTTGAAACAGTTATGACCATACAACCAACTTTAGAGTATAAATATACAAGCTAGAGCCGTAATTCAGCAAGTAAATGATACTACTCCAACAGACAAAAAGTAAATAACCAAATGTGAAAATTCAAGGTAGAGGTAAAAAATTACGCTGTCTACAGAAGAACTTCTGATGGGGTAACTAAGTCAGATGTCCCACTAAGAAATTTTTTTGCCATTTTTCCCTATTCTATGCATGACAAGGCATAAAAGGAGCATGTCTAATTGACTACGAGTAATTAAAAAGAAAATCCTTAAAATCAGATTCCATGTTCTGAAAAATACAAGCCACATGTGACAGGAATTGAAATAACAAGAATAAGTAAGACATATTAGACATATTATCTTCATGCTAAAGCAAGTAGTTCAAGAACCAAGTCGCAGATAGTGGACTACAGCCCATTTATCAAATATCATAAAAAACCTTAATTGCTATCATCCAAGTTCCTGCTACTATGCTGAGAAGAATGTGCTGCGATACCACTCAGTATGAAGATCACGATAAAATAATAATAGAAAGCAGCCCACCCAACTGGAACATATAAAATGTGATTCAATACGACACCAAACCAATGAATGATCACCGCATATTTCATCAGAAGTTTTTCTAAGTAAACGAGCATGCACCGCAGAACAAACTGAGGGGACAGAAGGTAGACCTCTTCCCGGTGATTTGGCGCGGGCGGGCAGAGTCACTGACAAAATTGCCATTAAGACGTTCCTTTACTGACCTCCTCGCTCCAGTCTCCACCCGATCAGCATACATCTTCAACTGCTAATTCGAAATGAAGAAAAAACCAACACTAATCCTAAACCCTAATTTCACAGCACCAAGAAACCGAACGCAGCAGGCAAACGCAAAATTACCGAGACGCTGAATGCCCACGTCCAGAAAGGATCAGAGAATATGAAAGAAAACCCTAGCCCTCTTAACCTTACAAAAGAATCAAAAACAAGCAAAAAGACGGGGTATAATAAAAATTCGAATTCGGAGAAAAGCGAGTCTGAATTCAATGACGGTCTTTGAGTTGGCCAAAACCAAGAAAGCGGACACTTTTTTGAATGCGTGATTTGATTAGTGTTGACGCTGTCGCAGATGAAGCATAGGGAGGGGAAGAGAGGGCGAGAGGGGAAGCTACGAAGAGAATCAATAGAGGTCCTGGCCGAGAGGGCAGAAGGGCCGAAGGGACATTTCGGGGCTCCGCTCTGGCACCCACCAGCGAAGCAGACTCAGCATTATTGAGCCTTCGGAATACACATACCGTAATATGGCACGGTAAATGTCTTTTAGGGGTATTTGGCTATAAATAAAAAAATATTTTTTCATAAAACAAAAAAATTTTTTTTATATATTTATTTTATATATTGTAAAAATATTTTTAAAATCATATTTTGTTTTCTATACAAACACCCCTTAATATTAGTGAAGCTCATTCTTAGCTTTTGGAATGGATAGATAATTCGATTAATTTTTTTGAATTGGAATTTAATTGAAATAAAAAAATATTACTCCTCCGGTCCTAATTATAAGACCCAATTGACTTATTTGAGGAGATTAAGGAAGTAAGTTAAGTGGGTTATTTATAATAAATAAATGTTGTCATTCCTAAAATATCCTTGCTAATTAAGTATATTGGCTAAAACTATCATTATTAGAAGGATTATCTTGGAAAAAAATGCATAAATATAAGAGACAAAATGGATTGGGTCTTATAATTAGGACCAAATAAAAAATCAAATTGGATCTTATAATAAGGACCGGAGGAGTATTTAGTAATAGAGTTAGGTCTAATAAAAGACGCTAATCTCTCAAAGCAACTACTTCATTAAAAAAGATACCTACATTTAATACCTAATAATGTCTTAAGCAGAATTGTATGTGAGAATATATGTGCCCAACAAAAAATATTATTTATTAATTTAATTGTAATTAAATTATTATTATTTTATATTCTATAAATTATGAGTAAAAAATTATTTTTAAAGAATTATACCTCATCTGAGTGCCCAGCCTAAACAAGATTGGGACCTGACTTGAAAAAATTTCCTTAAATATTTTAAAACTAAGAAAATAATTTCAGAGAAAATTGGAAAAAATTTTCTTATTGGTAACAAGAACACATAATTTTTATAAAATAAAAACACCTTGCATTTGGAAATTTTGTAAAGACGAAGTATCGACTTCACCAATAAGATTTTCAATTGAGGATTTTTATCAATTTTTCCATAATTTTATTTATCACAAAAAAATTTCATTATCATCATTCAAAATACCTTTGGCCCAAAAAAATCGAAATACGTTTCTTATAAATCGATGTTGGGATCAAAAGTAATTCTTTAACAACTACCCATTATTTTTCCACATAACATTGTTAAAAAAGTAATTCAAAATTTTGAATGAGATTTAAAAAAATAAATCATAAATATGTCTATTGATCACAACAAATGGACTTGTCCCTTAAAATATTGGGAGAGATGCTCATACTTACTAGCAGCATATTCATGCTTAAATAGCTTGATGATAAGGTAGGATTTGACCCTAAATCCAAAATTCAAATAGCTCAAATGGCTTGAGAACAAGGTCAGATTTGCCTGGCATTGAACCACTTGCTCAGCTTAAATTTTATTTCTTATACTACCTCCGGTCCTAATTATAAGAGCTAGTTGACTAATTTGAAGAGATTAAGAAAATAAGTTAAGTTAGTTATTTGTAATAAATATGTGTTGTCTTTCCTAAAATATCCTTACTAATCAAGATTATTAGCTAGAACTACCATTATTAGGGGGACTACCTTAGAAAAAATATATAAATATGAGAGATAAAGTGGATTGGGGTCTTACAATTAGGACCAAAATAAAAGTCAAACGAGTTCTTATATTAAGGACCAGAGGTAGTATTTCATATGTAATACACATTGATGCCGACTTTTAATTTTTTTTAAAAAGGGTTCTATGAGCAAAAAGAAACCAGACTAAAGTCCCAAGAAAAGTTTCAAATTATAGATGGGTAGCGCAAGAAAATCTGCACATCTGTTAACTTATTGATATCCTCATTAAGGATAACTTCTCATATTGATGAAAAATGTGTTTGCATTCCTCCTATCCTTAATATAAGATATATTTAACTAAGTTGAGTAGATTGGGAAAGTTAAGTAAGTTAATTAATTATAAAAAATATGATATGTTTTTTCTAAAATACCATAATCATCTTTCTTAAGATCCTCCCTTTCTCTTACTTGATTATGATTGAGGGGGTATATATAGAGATAATTTAGAAAAGAATGATAAATGTAAAAAACAGATCTTACATTTAGGACTAAAATTAATTTAATAATCAAGAGGGTGTTTGGATAAAAATCAAATTATGGTTTTAAAAATGCTTTTACGATATATGAAATAAATATGTGGAAGAGATTATTTCGATTTGGAAAAAAAGTGTTTTTTAAAAACACTTATTAGTGTTACCAAACATCCCCTAAGTCTTATATTAAGAACGGGCGAGTATAATATTTCACCCATTTAACACTACTTGCATTAGCTTGTTAAAAAATCTACGCTTCTTTCATGATGATTAATATCAATAGTTATATTGTTTATGATTTTGCTAGGTATCTTGAAAGTTTTATTATCTTTCAAATTAACATATTGATAGAAATTAAATACTCAAAAGCTTTTTGCAATGCATCATGAACGTCTAGAATGGAGTGATACACTGATACTCATGCAATGAGAAGGGTGCCAAATAGAATTAGTCTAAACTTTAGATAAAATCAATGTAACTAATTTATACTTTCAGCAAAAATTACTGTAAATAATTTGTATAAAGTATATATTAATCCAATGTCATATGAATTAATGTTTAAAAGGGATGAAAACTTCGGATCCTTGAGCATGAGATCTTAATTTAGCTAACACTAAATATCTCCTTAAATCTTATTTAAACATGGGATTACACGTTTAACCTTCAGTGGGCATGATGGATGCACAAATTCCTTACATTGAGTAATGGATTAAAAAAAGCATGAGATCTTAAATGAAGAGTGTAGTTAATATTCTCCGCATTTCATAAAAGGCAAAAAAAATTTATTCACATTAATGAAAAAAAAATCTCTTTAACACTAAAACTTTCTTTTTTAGCAAAAAATTACTCCTCTGGTCTTATTTATAAAGCAAAGACAGAAGATTTTTTTTTCTTATTTATAAGTTACTTTATTAAATTTTTAGCATGAATATACGATTTCATCTTTCATTTATTATAGTATAAATAACTATTTTTTTTAAAGATGTGTATATTAAATAGGGGTAAAATTGGAAGGTTATTATATTTTAATAGAGAGTTAATGCATTTTAAAGTTTTTCTTGGTCTGTGTGAAATATGCTGGAAGTGCCTTATAAATAGGATCAAAGGAGTAATAAACTTCTTGTTGGGCCCCATTTAATAATCAAAATTGCTCTAAAATGAAAAAAATATGGTTCCGAAAATCCAAAAATTGTTTGGTCCCAAATACTTCCAAAGTCATAGCCGAACAAACAAAACTTTCCTAATCCGAATACTCCTGGCCTAGTGGTGACTGGCTAGGTCACAAGTGAGGCGAGTTTCTGCTCTTTGAGGGCAGGGGTTCGAATCCTCACTTGTTAAAAAGGGTACCGGGGAGGGCTTTACTTGTCGCCCGGCCTGAATCCGGACTAGTCGATCCCTTGGGTACAACTAGCCCAAAGAGGCTGGCGCCCAGAAAAGGCGCGGTTGGATACCGGATGGTTTATACCAAAAACAAAAAAACAAAACTTTCCTAAATATATCACATGAAACAGTCAAAAGCTTATGTGAAGAGAAATAAGTTAACATTATGTAACTTGACAAGAGAACTGAAGACTGAAGAGAAAGTTATGCGATGAGAAACAGCTGAAATTAAATTTTCAAATGCAACTGCTCTTCCAAAAAGTCATAACTGCAGAGAGAAATAACATTATGTAACTTGACAAAACAATGTTACAAAACCTTCATTAATTCTACATAAATATGCTTTCTCATGATGTTAGAAAAACGATACTATATTTAGCCACCTTAGGCAAACATCATCCAACATTGGATCAAGTTTTCTCATTATCTCTAGAAACCACATTAGAGATCCTGATTAATTCGTGTCAAGTTTTATCAAACATGAAGGCAATCACTGATGATATAGAACTGGTTGAGAAAATTGTGATTTGTCCTGAAGAATCCACACCCAATAAGAGAATGTTCTTGTCGAATATTGACTTAACCCTAGTTGCTTATCAAGATTCTTCCTCCTTCTTTGATCCTCCAAGTAACCAAATGAGCTTTTCTGAGATTTGTAACAAGTTGTATAGTGCTCTACGTCAAATGCTTGTGCATTATGACTTCATGGCTGGTCGTCTTGTGCCAAGTTCAGATGGTGATCGTTTTGAGATCGACTGTAATGGTGCCGGCATCGTTGTCGCCGCAGCAAAAACTGATACAGAGTTGAGTGAATTTGGTGATATGTCTGTGTCTAATCCAAAGTTAAAGCAGCTTATTGGTTTCTTGCTTGAAGAGGATGAAGAAATTGACTTGAAAGATAAGCCTCTTACATCTTTACAGGTTCCTAATTCTATTGAAGTTTCTTTTCATATATTTCTTTCTTGAATCGCAACTACAATTCCATGAGTATGATCTAAATATTATCCGTTGCAACATGCATATTTGATGCAGATGCAATTTAATTGGTCTGATTGGGTTTGTTTTGCTAATCCTTTGCTAGAAAACATCTATTTATTGCAATGCACAATAATAGGGAAAGTTGGTTCGCAAGTACTTCTATTATCAATGAGGCCCCTCTAGTTTTCCTTTGTTTTAATCAATCACCTGAAACAAAAGGGACTTGATCAATAATCAAAAGAAGTGATAAATTAATTTTTCCCACACTAATATGAAATGAAAACATTCCATCAATCTGTTTTGAATAGTTTGGCTTCTTTTTAATTTTATTTATTGATTATTTATCCACAAAAAATTTTGCTGAAAATTAATTATTTTGTGGTCATGACAGTTAACTCAGTTTGGATGTGGAAGCTTGGCACTTGCCTCTCACTACAACCACTGCACACTTGATGGTATAGCAATAAGTGACTTTGAGAAGAACTTAGCTGCCTTAACAAGAGGTGATAGCTTCAGAATAATACCCAATGCAGATAGAACATTTCTTAAAGCAAGAAACCCTTTAAAAATTTCTCACCCACATTATGAATACTCCAAAACCACAAGCACAAACAGTAATAATGTGTTCACTTCTCGTGGCACAAGTGGCATCAGAATCACCAGACCAAGATCCCTAACAGAAAACAAAGTTCATGTGCTTCATTTATCAGCACAACAAGTTTCCAGCTTCAAGAAGAATGCTATGATGAAGCAAAACACCTTAAAGAACATCAGTTCATTTCAAGTAGTTGCAGTGAGAATATGGAAAGCAAGGAGCTTTGCAATGAAGATGCCAGAGGAAGAGATATCCACAATGCTATTCCCAGTTGAAGTGAGGAAGTGGATTGTGCCAGAACTGCAAGAAGAAGGGTTTGCAGGTAATGCACTGGTCCCTGGATTTGCTAGGGCCACTGTGAAGGAGCTCAGGGAAGAAGATGATGTTTCTCTGATAAGGAAAGTGAAAGAGGGGATTGAGAGGATAGATGAAGAGTATGTGAGGTCAGGGATTGACTGGTTAGAGGAAAACAGAGGAGTGCCCTGTTCAGAAAACAGTTTTTCATTGGTGGCTTGGATGAAATTAGGGTTAGAGGATCAAGAATTTGCTTGGGGTAGAGTAAAATGTGCTACTCCACTTGAACTTAAGGCTGGTTTGGTTATGATGTTGCCGGCAACAGAAGGTGATGGAGGTCTTAATATTTGCCTGGATTTACCTGAAGATCAGATGCAAGAGTTCTGCAGAATCATGCTTGAAGTATGAAATTATTTACTTATAATAATATGATAGAGTATCTGTATCTTGGATTTAGAACCTTCATCTTTTTCAATAATCTATGAGACAGTACCATATGCAATGATATTTTCAATAACATGAATTTTCCTGGGCTTTGTTAGGATTCAACTATATGACAGCGTGCCTGACTTACAAACACCATTCATATAATAACCTTTAATTATATTAATTATCATAACCTATCCATGTTTAAACGTTATTAATTTTGAAACAGCATTTAAAACCAACGTTCCCACCGTTCTTATTAAAAAGGGCCAACGGTGCTGCATTCCGAGGCCAACTGCTATAATATTTTGCTATAATATATTTGTTGTTTAGTGACTAGAGAAGATGGGAAAAAATCCATATATGTAGTGTTCTAGACGATAGTTTCTAAAAGTAGTTTATCTGCAATAAAGCAATGTTATTATAAAATTAGCGTTTATGTTGAAAAAATATATTATAAGGGCAAGGCTTATCATTTTTTTTTTTTGGCCAAAACAAGGCTTATCAACTGAGGTATTTATTTTTAGCTGCAAGATATTGTGAGATTAAATTTTGACAAATAAAAAATACATGGGTGATGTTGGAAAATGATGTTTGATTAATTCACAAATATCCAAACATGGACGGCATGACAAAGTCTAATTGCTTTTGGATGGTGACATATCCGTGTAGGTAGAATAATTCTTAAAAACAGTATTCTCGGGTATAATTCAGATAAAATCAACTGCATTCATTGCCAAAGCATAACATGGTTTCTTTATTTGATCCAGGGGAGCCTAAAATAGATACATCAGTTTCCATACTAGCATCAAGAGTTCAATTGAAGATCAAATGAAAGATAATTATGACACTGTCCGAGTACTGAAAAGTCCAAAGAAGGGATTTGTGATAGCAGACTTCAACACGGATCCAGCTGAATTTAGTAGTGTTATGTCCACCTTTTCCTCGGGAAGATACAAAAAGTCACCCGTTCTCTCAAACCCACATAGTTCAAGAAATTCCACACCTCCAATCAAACTCCCAACTCTATCCTGTTCAAAAAGAGATAGAAAATTATGAGAGACAAGACATATTCTGCGCACTGTAACAACTCTAAAGTGTAAAAACCAGTTCTAACTAAATCCACTTAATTAGACACAAGGAATGCCAGTATCCCCAAACTTAATGGCCCAGCTTGAATTAACTATTTAGAGGGGTAAAGATATGGCCATCTAAATTATCAAATTTTTCAGAGAACCTGTAGTCTCTTACCATTGATCAAAACAACGTGTTACCTGGAATAATGGGTTGCTAAATCGGATCTTCCTGTATTTTTCCTGGTTGGGATTCTTGACAACATTCCCAACATAAATTAAGAGTGTTTCAAAGGCCCTTCTGACTCTTGCTTGCTCATCCTATAAGCATTTTAAAAACAAATAAAGAAAGCATTAGAAAAACAGCTATTAAGATCAACTTCCACACCAGAAAAAACTAATGCAATACTGGGGGAATAAAGCACGTTATACGAAGCCACTGACATAATTGTGATTAGAAGTTTCAGAATTTGTAGATTGCTTCTTGTGGATTCTCATAAGGTTACAACTACAAAGACGCATAAAACTTAAACATATATCATCCCATCAGACAATATATTGTGTAAAAATAGGGTGATCAGCACATCTTTCATTTAGAACATGTAAGGATTTTAACTACAGAACAGGTTGGGTGCACAAATGACTTGGATTACTTTGCAAAAATGAGTAATAATAGACTTTGTTTTAAAAAAATTATCCTACCGTACACGTCAAATGAGCCTATATCTACCCTATTGAAGAATTCCATAACTACTGCATTAGACAAATGCGCATCAAAATTAGCTGAAGAAAAAGAAACAAAATTTATTAACCTGGTGGTTAAGCTTGAGGGACCTCAAACATTCTCTGAAGAGCTCAACTTTTGTAACTGTGTAAACAGGCCTTGGATTCTGCAGTTTCTATTGAAGCAATAAAGTGTTTAAAATTTTAAATGTCATTGATGGAATGGAAGGGTAAAAAATCACAAATTTCATCTAAATATAAAATACATGGATCTTTAAGTTCAATGTAAGAGAAAGCAGAAATCATACCTGTTCTTTTTGTACTGTTGTAGCTGAAGATTTCACGGTTTGATGGCCTTCTAGGGGCAACCCAAGTGTAGACCTTCTGTTTATCTGTAAAGACAGACAAACTTCAAGCCTTCTCAATAATGCTCACAATAAGATGGAACACATAATCAGGTATAATATGCGATTGATGTTGTCATATGTATATGCGCATCCTCTTCAGTCAGAATAACGCATGTCTATATTGTTTTTCCTATCTCTAACTGGAGTTCAACAGATTGACGTAATCATTCATGCTTAGCGATGAAGGAACTTTATAAGCAATGATGGAGAAATTTGTCAAATTCAACATATTAAATATAAAAAAGTTGTTAAAAATTTTCAGTCAAAAGTCAAAATATAGATAATAAGTTCTTCACCTTATCCTGTTCTAGTTTCCGCATGACTCTTTCCCTTGCTCTTTTCTCTTCTTCTTTCTCTGCTTTCCGCAAGGCTATATGTCTGATAACCAACATGCGTAAGTGGAACCACCTAACATCCTTATAACACCAGAATAAAATTTAGACCTCAATTACTCCTTCCGGTCCTAAATATAAGACCCATTTTTATAGTGTAGGTCGTATATTTAGAACCCGAGGAGTATTAAATATGAACATACCGTTGCCTTTCATTTTCTTCAGCAATTCGCTTCATCTCATTGAGTTTCTTACCTGCTTCGATTCTCTCCTGAAATGAGAGCAGTAAACAATTACATGAATTAATGTTGCCACAGTTAAAGACTATTGCGAGACAAAAAAAAGAAAAACAGAGCTAACTGAAATCCTAACTTCTTGTTGATTCCACCAAAATGGGCTGAAATAGTAAGAAAAATTCTTCTGATCTTAACAAATATTTGAAGCTTATTGAATTATGAACAATAAGTTCTTGTGTGATCTTAACATTTATTTGAAGCTTATTGAATTATGAACAATAAAAGCATGTACCTTTTCCCTTTCTATCTCCAATTTCTTTTCTTTCTCTTCTTTCATCTTGTGCAGTTGTTCCCTACTGAGCATCAATGATAAGAGGAACCAACCAGAAGAAGGGGAAATAATGAGTTCAAAATTTCCATTATTTAGGTGAAGTTATAGCACCATACGAAATACATCATCTATAGTGGTCAATAATTATATCAAGTCAATTTGTCAGAACTAGCAACTGCTTGGAAAATAGTGTGAGCAGCTGTAAATAAACCTTAGCTTCTGTCCTTTGATTTGCGATTCTTCTGTGATAGGGAACGAATGAGGAGAACTATTCTTCCTTAGCTTCTGTGCTTTGATTTCCATTTCTTCTGTTATAGGGAATGATTGAGAAGAACCAATCTCAATATCTACGTCCACCTGGAAGAATGTCAACATTTGAAACGATGAGTTCGCCGAACCATAGCGACCTACCATAACTTGTACCTAGCAAACTGAAGGATTTTGCCAAATCACTTTGGTGTAACTTGATACTGTACGAGATGAAATATCAAAATCTTAAAAAAAAAAAAAACAAACAAAGAAAACTTAAAGCCATGTAAATAAAGCTATTAATGTATCTTTAATCCTGTGGTGGTGGTTTTTGCTTTGGAAAGTGAGACCTTTGATCAGCATTTCACCTTCAACGCATTGCTTCTCACAGAATTTAGTGTCTTTAAGATTTTTTCCTCGTCAAATCAGTACCAATGTTGTCATTGGTGCATGACAGGAACCAACTTGCATCAATTTTTTTTTAAAAAAAAAAAATTCTCACAAAAAATATTTAAAAATTATGAAAACAGTGATACAGAAACTTACCAACGGAATCTCATCAATGTCAGGATCATTCTCATGATCAACTATCCAATTTATAGCATCCTCTACATTGGTATTGCCTGGAAAAGAGAAACATCTTGGTTTAAGGAAATATGACACAAATTACTAATAGCCTAAAAATGGGAACTTCTTTTAGTATAAAAACCAGCTTGCAAAAGAAATGACACGTCTAAGAAATATATTTTATATGGTAAATAGACTAACCAGAATAATGCAGTGCTCGAGTTGCCGTTGCCTTTGGAAATCCCATTGTTTCAAGTTCTTCAAGCATCTTTCTGTCCACTTTTGGAACAGCCATTGCAATCGACAAAATAAGAGACTGCAGCCAAAAGCAGTACATTGTCATCCCATTATGAGAAAATCCAAAAGTGGATATAACATGTTATTTCCCAGTTCCCTCCCTTACGGATTCACTATTAAGGGCATTTTAATCTGAAAATAAAAACAAGAACTAAATACCCCCAACTTTCAGATCAATTTCTGGATGGAACAAAACAACTTTACAAACACTTTGTTTTTGCAAGCTGGAAAAAGGAGCCAGAGTTGAGATTTTAGAGGAAACCAAAAGAAAAATTCTTTTTTGTTTACTGCAAATTCTTTTTTTTTAACTCGTTTCATTATCCACAGGTTTTCATCAGCCAAATGCAACATACAATTTATAAATAAAAAAAATTTAAAAAAAACCAAGATCCAAAGGGGCTAGATCAATAAGAATCAAAAAGAGATGGTGTTTCTCCATAGCAACCTGAATTCAATTTCTCTAAATGTATTTTGAGATTAAAACCTTAAATTCCCAGTCCCAAAATGACATGGTTAAAAAATATAAATACCTTTTCGCAAAGGAAAGGAAGATGCTCGACTTAATGGAGAAGGAAAAGTCAATCGAGCAAGCTTTGAAATATCAATTAGGCCATGCAAACAGCGAGGTATAAATTTCTCGAAATTCTTCCAGTGCCGTCAAGAAATCCCACTATGGAAGCAACACAAGAATATCGGAATGCTGTGGATTGAGATTCTTCTTTGATTTCCATCCAACATGAGAAGAGAAATCGAGAAAGACACCGCCC